AGTGGTATTTAAATATACTACATTATATACAATATAATTTTCAGAAGTGAGTACATCAAGTAAAAATGCCTAAAAGCTTACTGGTATGGCCTCACAATTGAAACTTTTCTTCTTTAAACTTGAAATTTTTATTAACGTAAATATGCCAAATATGATTAATGTGTAAAATCCTGTTGGTATCCAAAGAAAAATAAGTCATGGTCTCTACCTATACAAAGCCCAGAGTCTAACAAGAAACACAGTCTAGAAATGTACACAAATTGACAAACTGAGAGAAACTGTGCTTAAAAACACAAAACTGAGCCTACCACATGTCAGACACTCAATAAATAGTTGTTAAAATATTGACATGGAAGGGTCAAGTTCATCTGTTTGAAGAAGAGAGCATATGATCTGGACCAAATCTTAAAGGACAGAGAGATCTTCAGTGAACTAGCACTGGGCAAAGATTATATGAGAGAGAGAACATCACTTAAAGAGGGGGCAAGCCTGCAGGCAGGGGGGAATGAGTTGTTTGATGGGTACATAGTATCAGTTTTGCAAGAGGAAAAAGTTCTGGAGATTGCGCAACAATGTGAATATATTTAACACTATGCAACTGTACACTTAACAATGGTTAACAGGGTACATTTCAGGTTATGTGTATTTTACCACAATTAACAATTTTAAAAGAATAACAGAAAGGAGGCAAATAAATATAAGACAAATTAAACAAACTTCAAAGAAATTCAATATTGCTAAAACATGGGGATTTAGAGGGAGAAAAGGAGTGTCAAGTACACAGAAATAAAAGAAATTTCAGAGGATACTGCTGGAAAGCACAAGGAGGCCATACATGGCACTTTGGCTTACACTGCTCACCCTTTAGCTACATAGCAAGGAGAAGCCATCAGAGATTTGTGAGCAGTGAAATGACATGATTATTTTAGAGAACTAACTCGGAGAAATATCTGGGATGAGCCAGAAAACAGGGCCACAGACGGCAGGAGAGAAGGCCAACCAGAAAGCTACTGAAATAGTCCAGATCTAAAAGAAGCACTGGCTCTGAGAATGAAAAGAAAAGGAAGCATGAAGAGAAGCTGAATCAGAAGAGAACTGAGGAGATGCCACTGGATTTTTACAATTAGCAGATCACCAATCACTTTCAGGATAGCACACAAGAGGAAAACAGAGGTTACAGAGTGAATAAGAAAGAATACTGGAAATACACAGACTACTCCCTCTCAATGATTTTGGCAGTAAAAAGAAAGAGGGGACAGCACAGTAAGAGTAAGCAAAACAAGGGAGAAATGACTGAGGTTTTATGTCATAAGGACATTTCTTGTCGTTCTGTTTTAGGACCAGAAGAAATGGAATGTGAGGGGAAGTGATACATGCCACTTCTAGGCCTGGCCCATAAAAGCTTCCCACATGACTCCCTGTGCTCTCACTCTTCCCCTGTCGGCCAGCTGAATGTCAACACCCAAGGTGCTCCTGGAAACCACTTACTGAAGATCCCAGAGGCTCGCATCAGTCATGGAAAGGGCCACCCTACCATGACTGAATTGACACAGTGATAAATAAACTTCTATTGTGTAGAGCCACTGAGATTTTTTTTTTTTTTTTTTTAAAGGTGTTGTGAGTTGAGCATGGGCAGGGGCTAAGGAGAAAAAACCCAGTGAAGAGATGAAATGACAGATGCAGGCATACAGCTCTCACTGCCATCCATGCTTCTATCAAAATGGAAGCACCTTCTTCAATTACTTGTAAAGACATCCTAACAAAATTAAAGCAGAATAATATACAACCATTAACTTGAGAGTGGTTTCTGAAGTAGTTTCTTCTATTGTACTTTGTCCATTTTGCTAATTTATAAATATCTCTTCTATCTTTAAAAATTATTTTAAATTAGATCAGGTGAAGTGGATCACATCCTAGCCCTTTGGGAAGCCAAGGCAGGAAGATCACTTGAGGCCAGAATCTCAAGACCAGCCTGGACTAAGATAGCAAGACCCCTGCCTATAAAAATGTTTTTAATCAGCCAGACACAGTAGCATGTGTCTATAATCCTAGCTAGCTGGAGGCTGAGGCAGGAAAGTTGCTTGAGCCCAGGAGTTCAAGGCTGTAGGGAGCAATGATCATGCCACTACACTTCAGCCTGGGTGACAGAGCAAGATCTCAACTCTAAATAAATAAATAAATTAAAAGTATTTAAAATTCACTACTGGAACCACTTTAGAAAGGCCCTAATTTTGCCATTCAACTTCTACTTGGAAATATTCCTGAATTGCTTGGCATCCTATCAAATTAAGCCTGTTGAGAAAAGCAACAGAATTCATTTAGACTCTGAGACAAAGTAAATAGATGATGAACCTCAAATGTTTCATTTTAAGTGTTCTTTTACTCTCTTTTCTAAACTAGTGTCTCCTGAACAGCACAGGCAAACGTTCTTATAAAAGTATGCTTATTTGATGTAGATATTCAATTTAATATTAACATAACCTCTTTTAATGAGCTATCGCCTTTTTATACCTGTTAGGACTCCATGGTATGGTGGGAGTCATACTGATGTCTGGAAACAAAACCCCATTGTCCTTGATCCTGTCTAGTGCATAGTGCATTTCACAGAGGGGTAATCGATTTAATTGAAACTGAAGTTCAACCTGAAACACAAAACGAATTTTTAAAAAACAGCATGAAAGCAAACATCCATCCCGGCAGCTCGCTAGAATACTTTGGGAGGAATCTATTTGAGACAGTAAGTTTAGTGATTCTTTTAAAGTATAATTAAAGTCTAATCATAATTATGATGAATAATATTTGCCTTGTTCATTTATAACCAGGCACCATAACAAGTATTTTACTACGGATTATCTCATTTAACAGTATCAATGATATATATATATATACTAATATTAACATCATTTTACATATTAAGAAACTGACGTATTTATAAGTTACCTAATCTCTAGATAAAGGCTACCTAACTCTACCATTCCCATGAAAATACATTTGCAAAAAATCAGAACATGTGAAGTATTTAGTCATGAGAGATGATTAGCCCTATGGCATGCTACCAATTTACGATAAATAAATAATATTCTCCAAGTTTTATGTTTATAAAGAAAAAATATTTGTCTTCCAGTTAAATATGGCAGACTGAAGACATAATTCATCTAAAAATTCACAAAGATATAGAGAATAGGAACAGATACAACTGCAGATGAGAGATGTCCCAGGATGTAGCTTAGTTTCATCTTTTCTTCTATTGCTGATTTAAAACTCTAATCAGAAAGCTCATCCTTGTATAACACTGGAACAGTTTAAACGTTACTTAAATTTAAAAGAATCACTTTTCTCTGGGAGTTACTATCAGTCCAATTTTCAACCCACTTCAAAAGTCAGCTTTGCTTTTGTTTATGGCAGAAGAAAAACAAAACCCGAGGAAGACTATGAGCTGACGATGAGGTTACAGACCACGATGGTTAAACTGCAACCTTCAAACATACCTGTGTGTCACAGTCAGGCCGAAGATTAAGTTCTTCACAGCATTCCCTAGATAGCCTTAAAAATATATACTCCTTTGTTTTTTCTTCAATAGTAGCTTCATAAACCTTTTCTTTGGTTCCCTGGGTCTGAACTAACTTCTGTTTAGGGACTGGTAATAAATAAACAGCATTGACTTTGGTCATCACCAGTCGTCCAGCCAAAGTATCTTCAGAAAGTGTTTCGGTAAGCTTAAAGCGACCAAAAAGTTGTCCATTCTGAGCATACTTTGCACCTCCAGAAACGCCAGTGAGCATGAAGCTTGCTAGAATCTGCAACTGCACTTTAAGGTTGAACCTAAATCAGAAGTAGAAAACTAGTTTGAATATTTTACATCAAAAATATGTAAAAACTAGAAGAGTGAAAGAAAGTAAATCATATAAACATACCAAAAATTAAAGCATTACATCAATTCCACTTCACTGAGCTAAAAACTGTATCTTTTTGCCTTTAATACAAGCTGAATTGCTTACAGCCATTACTGGAGATGGTGAGAAAAAAGAAACAAGCTGGAAACAACAAAACTTTTTTATTTTTTATCTTTGAGATGGGTCTCACTCTATCACCGAAGCTGTAGTACAGTGGCACAATCTTGGCTCACTGCAACCTTTGCCACCCAGGTTCAAGCAATTCTCCTGCCTCAGCCTCTCGTGCAGCTGGGATTTCAGGTGCACACCACCATGCCCAGCTAATTTTTGTATTTTCAGCAGAGACGGGGTTTTGACATGTTGGCCAGGATAGTCTCAAGCTCGTAACCTCAGGTGATCCACCCACCTCAGCCTCCCGAAGTGCTGGGATTGCAGATGTGAGCTACCGTGCCTGGCCAACAAAACTTTTTTTTTAAGTGAATAAACTCCCATATAAGTTACATAAAGACACATACTAAGTTGTGTTGAAGAATATGCACATTCAAAAAAGATGTATTTAACATGAAACTAAATGTCATTTTTGTAAGTAACATGAAATATTATATACCAATTAATATAAAAGTCTGTTTGAACATACCACTGGGACAAAGACGACTTTAAAATCACCTGGAACCAGAAGGAAGCACATTGCATTGAAAATCACAATGGACTTTAAAACAACTGCTTTCCAAGTAGATCTTACCAACAGATTCTAACCATAAAATATCTCTTTCAATAATGTTAATAAGTAACATTTAAAATAAATTTTCATTCATGGCTATGTGGAGGCAGGTCTCACGCATGAATTATAGAAAGAAAAGTTAAAGCCTATCTTATTAGACAACGGTTGGTATACCCCTCACACTGCCATGTGTACACGTGAGTATGAAAGAGTATGTGTGTGAAGGCAGCACTGAGAATCAAGATTAATTTACACAGTCAAGAAATATGGAGCTGGATGTGGTGGCTCGTGCCTCTAATCCCAGCACCATGGGAGGCTGAGGCGGGCAGATCACCTGAGATTGGGAGTTCGAGACTAGCCTGGCCAACATGGTGAAACCTTGTACTACTAAACATACAAAAATTAGCCGGATGTGGTGGCGGGCACCTGTAATCCCAGCTACTAGGGAGGCTGAGGCAGGAGAATCGCTTGAACATGGGAGGCAGAGGCTGCAGTGAGCCAATATTGTGCCACTGTACTCCAAGCCTGGGCAACAGAGTGAGACTCTGACTCCAAAAAAAAAAAAAGGAAATATGAAGTGAAAGAAAGATGTAAACTAATGAACAGTTCTGAAATGGTGCTATAAGAGGTAAGACAATATGGTAAGAAGTGATGGCAACATTTTCTCCTTTTTCTTAGGTTTGTCTTAGTCTGTTTTGCGTTGCTGAACAGAATACCTGAGACTGGGTACCTGATAAAAAACAGAGATTTATTTCTTATAGTTCTGGAGACTAGAAAGTCTAAGCACAAGGGGCTGGCATATGGTGAAGGCCTTCAAGCAGCATCATCCCATGGTGGAAGGCAGAAGGGTACAAGAGTGTGAGCAAAAGCAATGGCAAGAGAGGACTGAATTCACTCTTCTAACAGCCCATTCTCATGGTAAGGAGCCAACTCCTGTGATAATCAATCACATTATTCACTCATAAGGGTAGAGTCCTCATGGCCTAATCACCTCTTAAGAGTCTCACCTCTCAATACTCTCCAAATGGCAATTAAGTTTCAACATTAGTTTTGGAAGAGACATTCAAACCACAGCATTCATTCAAACCACAGCATTCTGCCCACAGCCTCCATCCGCCATGCCCTTCTCACTTACATATTACATTCATTCCATCCCAATAGGCCCTAAAAATTGTAACTTTTTCCAGGATAAACTCAAAAGTCCAAGTCCAGAATCTCAACTAAATCAGATATGGGTAAAACTCAAGGCACAATTCGTCCTGATTCAAATTCCTCTCCAGTTCTGCCTGTGAACAAGTTAACAAGTTACATGCTTCCAAAATACAATGGTGGAACAGGCACAGGATAAACATTCCCATTCCCAAAGGGAAAACTAAGCAAGAAGAAGGGAACAAGTGGTCCCAAGTAAGTCCAAAACCCAAAAGGGAAAAAAACATTGAGGCTTAACGCTGAAGAATAACCTCATTTGCCTCCATGTCCCCCATCCTGGTACACTGAAATAGCAGTTGGGCCCGCAAGGCCTCAGGCAGCCCTGCTTCTACGGCTTTTCTGGGCTCAGTCTACCCAGCAGCTCACACAGAGTGAAAGTCTTGTATCTGTAGCTTTCCCAGGCTGGAGCTGCATAATGCTGACCCTTCAGTTCTGGGGTCTCAGGATCTAGCCCACTCCCAGAGTTCCACTGGGCACTGTCGTAGTAAGGGCTCTGCACAGTGGCTCCACCCCTGCAACAAGTCTCTGCATGAGCCCTCAGCCTGTCCAGTACATCCTTTGAACTCTATGCGGAGGCTGCCATGGCTCCACAGCTCACGCACTCTGCATCATGCAGCCACCACCAGGCTTACCCCTGCACCCTTCAGAGCAGCATCTCGAGCTGCACCTGGGCCCACTTGAGCCATACATGGCTGGGACAGCTGAGGACCACTGCCAAGGAGCACTGCACTGGGGGGAGCAGAGTCCCAAGGCAGCCCTAAGAACAAATGCTGCGGCCCCATAGGGGCAGGTCTCACAGACACCTCTCTGGAAACCCTGCCCTCAGGGTCCTAGCTCCTGGAAGAAGTTGGAAATGCCTTACGAGTCACTCTCCCCATTGTCTTAATGAATAGAATCTGGTATCCTTCTATCCAAAGGTCACTTGGCCACATCTTTAGTATCCTCTCCCAAACATGCTTTGTTATTCTTTACATGGCAAGGCTGAGAATTTTCCAAATCCTTCCATTTTGCTTCCCTTTTAATTCTAAATTCCATCTTTAAATAATTTCTCTCTTCTCTCATTTTATTGTAAGTGGCCAAAAGAAGCCACATAGCGCCTTAAATGCTTAGATACTTCTGCCAATCATCCTAGTTTGTTGCTTTTAAATTCTGTCTTCCATAAAGCCCTAGGGCTGGGCACAATTCAGCCAAGTTCTCTGCCATCACCAGAATGGCCTTTACTATCCATATTTCTGATCACAACATTCTGACTATGATCATTTAAGGAATCTCTAAGAAGTTTCAGACTTTCCCTACAGCTCTCTTCTAAGCCTTTACTAGAAAGTTCTTTAATGTTCCATGTATAGCGGTCTAAGCTTTTTCTAGCCTACTCCTCCAAATTCTTCCAGCCTCTATTTATCACCAAGTTCCAAAGCTGCTTCCACATTTTCAGTTACCTGTTATAGCAACAGCCCCACTTCTTGGTATCAATTTTCATAGTCCACTTTGTGTTGCTATAACAAAATACCCAAGACTGGGTAATTTATAAATAACAAAGACTTATTTCTTACAATTCTGGAGAATGGAAAATCCAAGACCACAGGGCTGGCATCTAGTGAGGGCCCTCATGCAGCATCACCCCGTGGTGGAAACCAGGAGGTCCAGAGAGTGCAAGTGAGAGCCAGAGAATAAGAGCAGGCCATCACTCTTCTCAAAATAAGACCCAACTTTCATGCTAACATTAATCCATTCATGAGAGCAGAACTTCATGGCCGAACAATCTCTTAATGGTCCCACCTCTTAAAACAACCCAATGGCAATTAAATTTCAAAGTGAGTTTCAGAGAGGACATTTAAGCCGTAGCAAAATTTTAAGATTTTGACTGAAAAGGTTAAATTATTTAAAAATCTATATATTCATTTATGGAAAATGCTATTTTGTAATATTACTGAATTGTTTTATTTTCAGATCTTCTTTTGTATACATGATGTCAAGAATGTCTTTTAAATCCTTAAGGGAAAAATAAAATCCTTTAAAAACATTATACATTTATTTAATGGAAATATGTGTATTGCTTTCAATATTAAAAAGCTAAATACTCTAATTCAAACTCTCCATTAAAATTTTAAATGTCCATTTGTGTATTTAAAGCTTACAAAATTATAAAAATACTTCTGTATAGTTATAGAAATAAAAAGTAATAAAACTAACACATCTGAATAGCTATTTATGCTTGTAATAATAGTTTATGAGCTTCATTAGTAATTTTAAAAGATATTTACAATAGAATACTTAAGACTAAAAAAAGATATGTAAATAGACATTGAAGTTAATATTTAGTAATGTGGCTTTATAAGATAAGCAAATGAATTCCAGCAGAATTTGCTTAATGTCTATAAGTGATACGCATTTCCAAAAATCACATTATATTTCTCTCATTCTCTATGCATATTTCACTAGATCCAAACAAGAGTAGGACAGTAATTTAAAGAAATACAGTATGTTGGCCGGGCGTGGTGGCTCACGCTTGTAATCCCAGCACTTTGGGAGGCCAAGGCGGGTGGATCACGAGGTCAAGAGATCGAGACCATCCTGGTCAACATGGTGAAACCCCGTCTCTACTAAAAATACAAAAATTAGCT